ATATATATATATATATATATATATATAATAAAAATGATAACAATAATAATAATAATAATAAACAAGATGTGTTTGTGAAACACTGATGCCCCCGTATGGCAGCTTATGGCGAAGGTTAAAGTTTCTTGAAATGCAAGTCAAAATCCAGGCCAAAAGATAAAAAATGTTGATACCCAAAGAAAGGTCTTGTCTCGAGGAATACACCTGTGAAATTTGAAAGACCTAGATACAACTGTTCAAAAGTTATGGCGAAGGTTAAAGTTTTTTTTAAATAAAAGTCAAACGTCTAGGTCGAGGTCAAAGTGGTTGGTATCCAAAGGAAGATCTTGTCACAAGGATTACATATGTGAAGTATGAAAGCCCTAGCACCAACCATTTAAAAGTTATGGCCAAGGTTAAAGTTTTTCAAAAGTAGGTCAAACTCCTAGGTCAAGGTCAAAGGGTCAAAGTGGTTGGTATCCAAAGGAAGGTCTTGTCACAAGGATTACATATGTGAAGTATGAAAGCCCTAGCATCAACCATTCAAAAGTTATGGCCAAGGTTAAAGTTTTTCAAAAGTAGGTCAAACTCCTAGGTCAAGGTCAAAAGGTTAAAGTGGTGGTTGGTATCCAAAGGAAGGTCTTGTCGCAAGGATTACACATGTGAAGTTTGAAACCACAAGCACCAACTGTTCAAAAGTTATGGCCAAGGTTAAAGTCTCATAAAATTTTGCAAAAGTGGGTCAAACTCCAAGGTCAAAAGGTCAAATATGATGGTACCCAAAGAAAGGTCTTGTCACAAGGAATACACATGTGAAATATGAAAGTCATAGCTCCAACCAATCAAAAGTTATGGGCAAGGTTAAAGTTGACAACAGACAGACAGACAAACAGACAAACGGACAAACAGACAAACAGACAAACGGACAAACAGGCAAACAGACAAACAGACAGACAGGACAAAAACAATATACCCCCGGGATCTTTCGATCCGGGGGCATAAAAATCTCCAAAATCCTATTTTGTGGCGGTGATGGGGGGGGGGGCGCTTTTTCGACGATTTGACTATAGTGCAACAAAAAGTGGAGGGGTCAGCCTTTGAGTGTGTGTTTCATACTAAACAGTAAAACATTATGCTCGAAAAAAACCCACCCACGCGTTCTACAGGCCTGTCTTTTACGATTGATTTTGTAAGGATTTTTTTTTAATTTCAAGACTGGGTGTCCCCCCCCCCCCCCCCAAACTCTTATCCAACATTATTGTACATTGTATTCAATTATTTTTCTGCCGAAAATGATATTATGAATGGAATCTGTCCCTCCCCTGACTACGGATTTTTTTTTAAGTGCCTGTTTTCTTCTTTACTTCCCACAATTTTTAAGTGCCTAAGTTTTCAGTTTTTCTTTTGCTTGTCAATCATTTTACTCCCCCCACCCATTCTCCCTCGCATACACACATTTTGAGAAACGGTGCTACGTGCCTGTTTTATATGCATGTATAGGAAGCCTTTCCAGATTGGAGAGTTTCCGCAGACAGTCTAAAATTTGGTACCTATATAATCAATTTCTTGTATTTTGAAAAAATCTTAAAAAGACAGTTTAAGGATTACTTGAAATCTTATCCGCAAGTTTATGGATAAATATTTTTTGCATTTTCAATACAAGTATATTCTCTCTCTCTCTCTCTCTCTCTCTCTCTCTCTCTCTCTCTCTCTCTCTCGTGTAAGCATCTATACATGTAAGAGCAATAATGCATTTAAAAAATCCGATGTAGTAAAAATCTTGTGCAATGTTATAGTCTTTATAATGGCAGATCAAGGAATTTTTCTGGGGCAGAGTGGATAAAAACCTGCTGAAAAAAAGTCTCCTTTTTTAGACAAGCCAAAAAAAAGAAAGAAAAGAAGAAAAAAACCTACACACCCAAACGAAAGGGGAACTAAACAATTGTGAAAACTATATTTCACGGGAATGGAAACATGAGGACCCTTCTCACGTACATTCCAGAGGAAACAAAGTCAATTTTTTGTTTCTTTATACCTATTAGAAGCACTGAAGAGCACAGAGGGTTCCTACCAGAAATTTTTAGACAAGAAAAAAAAAAAAACAATATCAAAATTGAAAAAAAAACTTGAGGGGGGGGGGGGGCACTCTCAGGGGCACATGTTTTCCTTTCCTACAAACTTTGACTATTAATTATATAATATTTACGTAATGTAATGATTAGTACTTTTGCATCGCCTCGTGATATCTTTGACAAAGCGAGGATTGTTGAATCAGTCCACTTTACATTTGGGTACACAGTAGAACTATTTCAATTATCAATATTAGTTTCATATAATACTAATAGTGTAATACTTACTCAACTTCAAACATGTAATGCAGATTATTTTATATACACATAATTATGTCTGTGCTTATGTGTATATAAAATTACATTATATGTTTTTGTATATGTATATTGAAGTTGAGTAAGTCTGTCAGTGCTTGTTGGTAATTGTGTCAATCGTGCTTGTAATTTGTAACGCCTAAAAGGGCTCTGATTTGAAAATAATCTGTCTACAGAAACAAATTGTTCAGTGTTTGTAAATTTAAGATATATTAGTTTTATATCTAAAATAGTTGAGGCCAGTTCATTGCACGTATTTAAATATATTTGATCAAGGGAAATCCGACCTTTTTCTGACATATTGAAAAAATATATTCTACATATTCACCCCCCCCCCCTCCCCCCTTTCATTCTCTTTAAAAGATGTAAGATCAGTAACAAGAATGTATGTTTATGTAATAAATTTGAAGTAGTGAAGCCACATTCATGAACATATTTACTACATGTACCGATAACACCTAGTTCGATTTCTGAAACAATTTATTTGCGTGACTATATTGTCTAATCAGGCAAATAACACCAGTGTCATTTCCACCTTCGATATTTTCCCTGACCAAAAATGTGATCGGCAGGGACCACGTGTGTTCAAGTGCTAGTGACAATGTGTTTGCCGTTGAGTTACAAATGGAGTTATTTCTTCTGTGATGCATATTTCAATAAAAGGAAAATAGGAAATAATTCTTTCGACATGTGCACATCCCTGTAGCGATAGCAGTATTTCAGGCAGATGAGTTTAGAGCGTTCGACGCGTTTTCTCGGCATGCATGCATGCATGTACAACTTGAATGCGTAAGTTGCATAGTATGTGCTTATACCGTGTAGCATGCATAAAGCTCAAGAGTACAGTGTTATCTGGAAAAAAATGCATGTGGTAGCCTTTTCTTCTTTATTGTTCAAATATATATGTATACCAAACTTGCATTTGCCGTTTTGATTTTTATGCATTGCATCTAAATTATTCAAATTTTATATACTCCTTTCCAGTTTTCAAAAAAAAAATCCTAGTTTTGGTAGGATTGTTAAATTTATTGCATGTTCCAAAACTGCTTTATCGGAGATGTGTACAGGCCTACATGTTTTCGGTCAGTTCATGGCGTGTTCCAAAACTTTGCTATCGGAGATGTGTACATGTCAACAGCCAGGCTAGAAAATCACTCAAGTGTAAAAAAAAAGCATCAGGGTTTATATAGCCCGTAAAATAAGTGAGCGAATCTGAAAGAAATATGGCGGAAAAGGGAGTACGGGAATGAAATAAGTCGTACAAGGATGAAAATATCACATATTTAAGAGTTCATGTCAGCTTTAAGACCGTGGTATTAGGTCCCAAAATAAATTTGGTATATCATTTACATTTATATTGATTTTTTTTTACAATAAATTTTTCATACGATTTTTTAAAAATTGTTTTCAAATATGATATCACTGAAGCCCTTATTTTTATTAGTAACAATATTATTTTTTAATTCAGCCCGACTTACAGTACCCTGAGTACTTTGATTTTTTCTGCCAACGTGGTCTGAACGAAGGCACGTGACATTCGCTACCCAATAGAGAGCGAATATTCCACGCCCAATGAAACGCATGATTTCAGTCAGATGCTAAGTAAAGTGATAAATCTCTACAATTATCGGTAGTCTTTGTATCTATAGCGTACATCAAATTCTACTCCTTTAATTACCCTAAAATCTAACACCTTATCCTTTCGATCATTTGCGACAATTTTTAAAGCAGCCGACACCTTTTAGGGTTGTGTTTGCAGAGAATACCTGAACCTAAAAACGTCAAAATGCTGAAGTTCCTACTGGCAGTCGTGTTTTGCACGCACTTCATATGTGCCATGCCCAAAGAAGAAGAAATGGTCTTTAGAGAGCTGCTGACTGAACTGGTCGAAAAAGAGGTACGGTTTACTAGAATTACAATTCATTTCATAAATTTTGGTCGAGGAAAAAGTATGATAATACATAAGTGTAAAACTCAAGAGAACCCACTTTTTGACGGTATATACATGTATTACCTCCAACGAATTTTCAAGGAATAGGAATTTACATGTGTGGTTGCTCAAGAATGTCTGGAAAGATACGTTAATTGTGAGTTTATTTAAATTCTTTATTTTTGTAAAAATGCTATGCAATGTTATACTTCGTGCAGCATGCCTGGATTGAACCCGCATGTAGTGATACTTCCCCAGCGAGTTACAATAAACTATACAGTTATATACAAAACTTTACGAAGCATTTCTAAAACAACTTTCACCGAATCGCAGCATTGTTGCAGACTGTCCTTTCTCCTGTACAAAATTTTTAAAAGAATTTGAAAATTCTACATGGTGAACACAATTCAACAGGTTGGACACAGTTTCTTTCTCGCATTTCTCGTGCACTTTTACTAAAATGCACGGGTTTGTTACCTTTTTCGGAAAACAACAAAATCCTTGAATATGGACTGTTTTTTTTTTTTTTTTTTTTTTTTTTTTATCTCAATAGAGATATAGAAAAAAAGTGAAATGTATAATAAACATTGTATTAAGGCATAATTTTTTTAATTTTAACTCGCTTTCAAAAAAAAAAATTCAATTGATAATAATATTACCATTTACAGCACTTATTTTTTCTTCAGAAAGTAGGCAGGTCAAGTGGTGGCGAGATGACCGATGAAGAAACGCATCCGCCATCGGAAGACAAGCGAGAGATCGTGAAAAGTCCGCTCTGACGGATTCCGAGAAGCAGGAGTACGTGGACGCCCACAATGAGTTCCGAAGGCAGACCACGCCCACTGCAGGAAACATCAGATATATGGTAAACTTTCAAATATAGCTTTTTCGAAGTTGAACACACACACCCCTTTTTCTGCCCCCTCTGCTTCTGAAAAAAGTGTATAGGCTACATATCTTTAACTAATGCTGATGTACATGAAAACAAGAATGAATAGTTAAAGCAGAAAAGTAACTTGTACATCCTGACACACGCATTTGGTTCTTGACTATTCAATGAAGAATTCGCGTTTTGTTGAAAATTATTGCTGAAAGCTTTCAGTATTGCTATTATATATTTTTTTCTTGTCAATGCACATGTCTGCTAGAAGAAAAGACTCCACTGGGTACAATCTATCTAGTGGGGGAGGGGGTCATAAAATCATCTATCTTGAACAGTATGTCACGCATGCGCTTTATCTGTTGTAGAAGTGGAGCGATGAATTAGCCACTGTAGCCGCCAATTATGCCGCCAAGTGTAAGTGGGCCCACAATGGCGCACGAACTTCCTCTCAGAACACCTTCAATTACGTCGGAGAGAACAAGTACATTAACTCGGGTAAGGAAAAAATCTCAAAAATGGATTTTTTTTAAACAAAGTGTTGGCATACATGTACTGTATTATTTTATACCTTCCAAATTTATTCTCTTCCCCTAATGAAAGCATACAGTAAGTGCATTTAATTATGCTAATCCACTTTTTATTTGCTGTTTCATGAAAACTTCAATCTTATCTACTGTTTTTAGTTATATTCTGTTTTATTTTATTTTTTTAAAATCTTAGTCCAATAGGTACCTTAATTTCTTTTTAAAACCTCCTAAGGGTTTTTTGGGCATAGTCTGTATCTAAACTACGACATTTATCTTATAAAACTTTTAAGTTTATATATTAAAGAATTTTAAAAATACATTTTCACTTTTATTTTGCCATAGTTTATATCTAAACTACGACATTTAATCTTATAAATCTTTTAAGTTCATATATTAAAGAATTTTAAAAATACGTTTTCATTTTTTTTGTCCTTTTATTTGTAATCAGATAGAATCGACCACATATAGCATTCAATTTCTTATCTTTTTTCTATAGCTAAGAAAAAAATCCATCGTTCAGTGGAGTATTGGTGGCTAGAGAATAGCAAGTACGATTATGATACACAGACTTGTAGCTCTGGAATCTGCACTCACTACACACAGGTAAAACGGTCCTCTTTTCTTTTAAGTCTTACCATCCTGTTTTTGCCCCCTCCACTCCCCACCCTCAACGTACACACCTCCATGGTGTCACACATCTGTATTATGGAGTTATCCACTATACGCGTAGCAATATATATTTGATTTTTTAATTAGGACTCTGTAGTATTAAACCGATTACATAAAAGATTAATCAACTGAGTTAAATACTGGTATGTTACCTACATGTGTATACACTGTATGTTGAGTGAAGGGTTGATATAGGGTGATGGAGGTGTTGATTAGCTTGCAATAAAAACCTATCATACACATACACCAAGTTACAGACAGAAATCTTTTAAAGAGGAAAGGATTAATTGTCTTACACTTACGTTGTCTATATACATATATATGTAAAATATGTAACATATGTAATATGTATTACATGTGCACGTACTGACAAACACAGGTTTTTTTTTTTTTTTTGGGGGGGGGGGGGGTTAGGGGGCGCTCCACTTCCAATTAGCCATTGCTCGCCTTATTGCTTGTCACACTGTAAAAATTAAGCTATAATCTGTCATAATTGAGAGCTAATTTTAGGAAGTAGGAAAAGTCACAAGCAAGATTTCTCTAATATTATGCATGCAGTTTTGTCTTTAAAAGGTAACAAAGAGAAATCTTTTTTTGGTATACAATTACAGGTTGTTTGGTATAACTCGGAGTACGTGGGCTGCGCTGTTCAGTTTTGTTCCTCCATGAATGGCTTAAGCGGCTGGAATAACGTTTACTTCCATGTCTGCAACTATGGGCCAGGGTGAGTGCACATGAACTACAGACAGGACCAAAACTTACATTAAATTTTAGGTTACATTAAGGTTTAGTCTAAAATGTCCTTCAGGAATTTAGCTCGAGTAAAAAAAAATGCAAAAGTCATACAGAATGAGGAAAATTTATTGAAATACGGATGTACATGTACAATCTGTTGAATAAAAAGGCTTATCTTAAGTTTGAACATACAAATTTTAATTTGTGTATTGCAGAAGACAAACATTCTACACCACATTTAAAGAACTCATAGATTAATTAATAAACTTGGTGAAAAATGGGCAATCATGCTTACATATTCTTAAAGAACTTGACAGTTACTCATGTTGCATGTACGTAAAATCATTAGAAACTTACTCCACTTTTTCTAATTGAAATGAGAGAGTCTGTCCTTTTTTAATTTGCATTTTCATAATTCATTAGAAACTTATTACATTATTTTATATTTCTTTTTCAATTTTGTTTGGGGAAAGGGGGTGGGGTCGGGATGTTGTTAAATATTCTTACACACTTGCTGCAATTCAGAACGAGGATAATTTTTTAATACAACAGAAAACTGTTGAACGACCACTCACTCCTAAAGATTACAATACATGATTTGTAACCTGAAAGTCATTTCTAATACATCACCGCCATAAAATTTAATGTGAAAAATAAAAAAAAAAGTCATTCCCGCTTTCCGCTGAAAAAATTAAGGAAACCTAATAATAACTGTGTCAGAATTAAAATCAAATGCGACATGTCACCACCATGCAGAGGTTGAAATGTTTATTGAAAAAAATCCCTTTGGTTACTGAGGTTTACTGAAGTCCTTTTTTTCGCAGAGGAAACTATGTAGGACAAGACCCGTACTCTAAAGGAAGCAGCTGTTCCGGATGTACAGATGACTGTTGCAAGGAGGATCTGTGTGTCCCGATCCGTTAAACGTCGGATCGAACAGGTCGAGAAGTTCGAAGAATTCTTAGAGTTTAGAATTTTAAACCAACATGATTGCAAAAAAAAACTGGAAGTTTTTACGTCAAGCTAGTCCTTCTCCATTCACATGTGACAAATTCTTTTCTGTTGTTTTTCATTTGTGAACTAGTTAAGCTATATAAAGTTGTTTGATGTTATTCTGCGATTTGAAAAGAAGTAAAACTATAAAATAAAATTAGATGTAGAAACAATGAAAATTGTTTTGTTTTGATTTTTTTATTTGAATTTTGCAAATTTGAAGAAAGGATAAACAACGGGATTTGATGATAAGTTACATTACAATTTAGATTTCATCAGTCAAAATCAAGTATCGAATGTATTGAGCCTTTTTAAGTAAAACGAAATTGTAAAAAATTATGTAATTACTCAAGCTAGGTGTTCCAATTCCGGAAAAAAAAATGAATTTTGTCTATAGCGCGATATTTCTTGACTAGACCATCATCCGATGTGGATCCATAATGCATCAGATTTATTATTTGCATAACCATGCATATAAATCACCTCACCCATCTTACATGTACATTAATTAATTCGGTTAACATAATTTTCATTTTAATAATTTTTAGTTAAAAAAATTTAAATTTTTGAATCCTTGTAGGTATTTTTTTCTTTTTTATATAGAATCTTTTGTTTCATAAATCTTAAAATAAAATTGTCGTACATGTATCGAGGCATGTTCAGGCTATAGATTAGGTAAAGTTGTGGTCATCAGATGAAACTAATAATTTAGCAGCGAAATTTGCAAGAAACGGCTATTTCTGAATTCATATCTGAGTGAGCATGTTTTAAATTAAGTCCGTGCATTTATGTTTCAGCTTGTATGCAAAGTCAAATTATTATTATTTTTCATCTTTGCAGTTATGGGACAATTTCCACTGAAATCTTTATCATTTTACTGATTTGAAAATTCAAAGTATTTCATTCAGGAATATTTCTATATGCAATATAAAAAAAAATAAAATATCCCAATAATAATAATGATAATTTTTTTTTTTAAATATATAATCTTCATCTTTTACATTCTCTATCTATAGTTGTCGTTCCCCGCCTCCGCTTGACCAACTGGCAGCTTAGCGGAAGACAACGAAAATGCATCTTGTAGTCTTTTCAGTGCTTTGATTCTCCATAAACTTGACATGCCGAACCCGATTACTAAAAAATACATCATGGCTGAGCACGGTCCTTCAACAACCAAAAGTAGAAAGCTGACAGACTCCCCTCTCTTGTTCAAAGGTGATTTTTTACTGAAGGATGAAATATCGGCAGTGTTGTTTAGTCTTTGTTCATGTAAACCCGTCCTGTTACCATACAAATTTGTCTCCTGCAATGCAGCTACTCCTAACGGAGGGGCACCATTCCGTAAGGCTTTCTGTGATGTAGAACAACTGGAGAAAGGTTTCGTCTTGGGAGATATATTTAGAAGAGGGGTAACAATACTTATTGACTTTCTTTATGGAAAAATACCAGAGGCAAAGCACGAAAGGATTCTACTTGAAGTACTTGTAAGATTTTTGAAGTCAGGTATGTAGAAGTTGGTATCCATGCACATGTATTACGATTCCCAGACATCATCGGTGACAGCTGATCATGCCTATGATGAGAAAATTTGAAAAGAGGAAATCATTCCCTCTTATGTCATTGTATTAGTCGCCTTGACACTTCAGCATTTTCAGACCTAAATAAAATAAAATGTCCAAAAATAAAATGAAAAGTGAATAAATGTGTAATGCATTTTTTAAAAAAAGAGCATCAAGCATTAAATAAAACAATAGATACCCAGATTTCTCAGTCTTAGAATAAGTGTTAACTAACAAATAAACACCTTTATATAGAGATCAAGTCATGAAGATACATGTAGAATGTTCCAGAATCTTTTGTAAGACTGAATTTGAACATGATAAAAACATTATCTAGCTTTAAATTTGAATTTCATCACTGCTTTTACAGGTGAAATGGTGGACTTGGACTTTGAAAATAAGGCAGACATGACAGCTGTGTTGGCTAATCATCTATTTGGAAAGTTGGCAATATCATCATGGTACACAATCGATGAAAGAAACAAATTGAAGAGTGGACAGAAAGAAAATAAATGCAGTTGCAGTGATAAAGAATGTGTGTTGACTGGAGGCTATGGAGATACAAGTATAGGTAAAAATAGACTTATAAACATGATAAAAGAAAAAAAATATATATTGGATGGAGTTATCAAAAATTAAAATTAGAAAAGCTACAATTTTTTACATAAAAAAGGATTTTACCCTACGTAACTTTCTTAATTCGATCTTTCCTGATAAAAATAAAAGAATGAAGGTATTCTTTACTCATTATTCTTGTTGGTAGATTAACATAGAGAAAAAGGTACCTATTCAGCATGTTCATCATGTTCTTCAGACTTTTAAATTTAGATGTTTATCTGTACTTAGTTTTTTTTGTCTCTGTGAGACATAAATATCTTTCAGTTTTTGATAATTTCAAATTAGACATAGTTTGCTTATGAAACATTTCAACCAGTGTCTGGCAACACTGCACCTAGGTACATGTACATTGTAAATGTATTCCAGGTAGTGCATGTTCAGGTCTATTCAAATAGTGATCTCAAGAGAAAAAGAGATCAGTGTTTAACATGGGTAGGTAAAATGAAAAATCTTTTTCTCAAGGGATTATTTATTTGTACAACACAGAAATTGTATGTCGGTATGTATTCCTTTGAATTTCTTTAATACGTCATAAGTTCCTACCACTGTGTGACAGCTGTACATGCTGTAGACCAGATGTAATTTTGGTTTGCACTGAGAAAAAGGAAGGTTTATAATTGGTCAGAAAGATGTGTTGTTGTTTTTTTTAAAGTTTATGTTAAATTAAAAAAATATATATATTATCCTATCTACCAACCCTTATTTGAATAGGCATGTTTGTAATCATGGTAATAGTAAAAATGAAACATGTTTTTTCCTAGGCCTAATATGAAAACATCTTCAGGCATGAGATAAAACGTTGCATCAGTCACTCAGCAGAGCTCAAAAAAAATTATTATGGCCCATTAATATACAGCAACAACTTGGCTGCTTCCATGTTCTATCAATACCTGAGAATGTATACATGCAGCTGAACTTGAAGACCCATTAAGGAGTATGAACAATCTAATGAATCTATACATGATAGAAAAATGTGGTTTCAATTTGGACAGTCAGAAAAGTAGTACTATATAAAGGTGTAAATGTTGACATAAAATGTTGAGGTAATATCTATTTCAAACTCAACAGGGGGTCCCATTTATTTAATTCTAGGAAAAAGGTCAAAGACAACAAAAATATTTTAAAATGAACAGAAATCACTGCTCCTTACTTAAATGGGGAAATACTTGTTTGCAGTTAATTGTTTAATTAATTATCTTGACCTTAAAACTGTTCAGCATGCTTGAATTGATTATAAATTAATTCTCTGAGAATTCAATTTATTTTATTTTAGATCTAAAGGCAGATAACTCTTACTGCACAAAAATTACCAGATTCTGAATTAATTAAAGAGCAGACCACTCTAACTGCATAAATGAACTCTTCCATGTGCAATCTATAGAGAGAGGATCCATCAAACTCTTGAAAAGAATCTTTGATTCGAGACTTTGCATTACTTTTTGTTTACAAAAATTGTACTGTTTCATTTGTTTTTTTCTCTGCAGGTAATCCCCATGTGTGGCATGGCAGTGTAGACATCATAATAAGGAATGAAATCGCTATCCAGAATTTAGAGGAAGAGTCGGAAATTCCAAGTACGAAATCTTCCAAACATGTGAATCTGAGAAATGACTCGCAGCTGGTTGCAGGAACTATTGTGTCGTCTTTTCTACAGAAAAGGTTGCACCCTGACCTATCTAACTTCCTCATTCCAAGTATAGGTATTGCAGATGATACCATGGTGATAGTGTTCTATGATTCGGAGCATGATGTTCTATTGGAGAGTTCCCCTATTTCACTCAAATCTATTTCCTGTGAATACAAGTTTTCTCTTCAGGCAGTGATCATAACCTGGTTAGTCGTCAACTATAGGTTTTTGTGTACAGGCTTAACAGACAACATGATTCCATACAAAGCAGAATTCTTCCAACAAGCAAAAGATAAACTGACAATTTACGAAAATGAACTCAAAATGCAGAATGTGGGTCCAACCATTGTGAAAGAAAGGGTCTTACCAAGCGAATGGCATTTTAGTGAATTTTTGGAAGAAAGTCGTAAAAGACTTGGTGATTGGCCACGCACACTCAAGCATGAAAATTAATGTCATATTCAGGATTGTGACTTTGTCATACTTGAATATTCGATGGTGCCGCAAACTATGTTTTCAGAGCCTTACCAAATTCAAATTGCATTCTACTGTACATTTTAAAGCATATGAGAAAATATTCTAAATATTAAAAAAAACTAAACTTGATACATTTATGCTTATTCAAAATTTTCACATAGTTAATACTGTTGTTAAACTAGAGGTGCTGAAAGCTTTGAGCTCACAAAATGACATCCTCACTCCCATATAAGTATTATGGCAAAGTACGTTTCTTGGCAGTAGGTAAAATAGTTGTAATGAGATTCTGTGAAATTTCCATTAACTACCCTCAAATGTCAAGGACGGGCAGATGGAAGTGTAACCAAATGACTTATACCCTTATCACTTTATACATACCCCCACTTTTCAAGCAGAGGGTAGAAAAGTAAATCAATGATAAAAGTCGGAAAGAATTGTTTTTAGCTCACCTGAGCCAAAGGCTCAAGTGAGCTTTTCTGATCAAAATTTGTCCGTTGTCTGTCGGCGTCGGCGTCGTCGGCGTCGTTGTTGTCGTAAACTTTTCACATTTTCATCTTCTTCTCAAGAACCACTGAGCCGATTTCAACCAAACTTGCCACAAAGTATCCTTGGGTGAAGGGGATTCAGGTTTGTTCAAATGAAGGGCCATGCCCTCTTTCA